TATCCAACAAGTCGATAGCATCAACTCCATTATATCCAACAAGTCGATAGCATCAACTCCATTATATCCAACAAGTCGATAGCATCAACTCCATTATATCCAACAAGTGTACACAGTCAACTCCATTATATCCAACAAGTGTACACAGTCAACTCCATTATATCCAACAAGTGTACACAGTCAACTAACTCCATTATATCCAACAAGTGTACACAGTCAACTAACTCCATTATATCCAACAAGTGTACACAGTGACTAACTCCATTATATCCAACAAGTCGATAACATCAACTCCATAATATCCAGCAAGTTGATAGCATCAACTCCATTATATCCAACAAGTCGATAATGTCAACTCCATTATATCCAACAAGTCAATAATGTCAACTCCATTATATCCAACAAGTCAATAATGTCAACTCCATTATATAATGGAGTTGACATTATCGACTTGTTGGATATAATGGAGTTGATGTTATGGACTTGCTGGATATTATGGAGTTGACATTATCGACTTGTTGGATATAATGGAGTTGACATTATCGACTTGTTGGATATAATGGAGTTGACATTATCGACTTGTTGGATATAATGGAGTTGACATTATCGACTTGTTGGATATAATGGAGTTGACATTATCGACTTGTTTAATGGAGTTGACATTATCGACTTGTTGGATATAATGGAGTTGATGTTATGGACTTGCTGGATATTATGGAGTTGACATTATCGACTTGTTGGATATAATGGAGTTGACATTATCGACTTGTTGGATATAATGGAGTTGACATTATCGACTTGTTGGATATAATGGAGTTGACATTATCGACTTGTTGGATATAATGGAGTTGACATTATCGACTTGTTCATTATCGACTTGTTTGATATCAACTCCATTATATCCAACAAGTCGATAGCATCAACTCCATTATATCCAACAAGTCCAGAATTCAACTAATTCCATTATATCCTACAGTTCACATACAACATAAATTCTCAGAATATCATGGACACAAATATACATTTTTAATGTAAAAATTTTAACAATTTAAAAATCAAGATTTCTTTGTTTCAGAAAATAATACAAAGCTACACATAGTCCACCTAAACTAGCCATCCCTAAAGCTACACACAGTATACCTGAACTAGCCATCCCTAAAGCTACACATAGTTTACCTGAACTAGCCATCCCTAAAGCTACACACAGTATACCTGAACTAGCCATCCCTAAAGCTACACACAGTATACCTGAACTAGCCATCCCTAAAGCTACATAGTATTCCTGAACTAGCCATCCCTAAAGCTACACACAGTATACCTGAACTAGCCATCCCTAAAGCTACACATAGTCTACCTGAACTAGCCATCCCTAAAGCTACATAGTCTACTTGAACTAGCCATCCCTAAAGCTACACACAGTATACCTGAACTAGCCATCCCTAAAGCTACATAGTCTACCTGAACTAGCCATCCGTAAAGCTACATAGTCTACTTGAACTAGCCATCCCTAAAGCTACACACAGTATACCTGATCTAGCCATCCCTAAAGCTACACACAGTATACCTGAACTAGCCATCCCTAAAGCTACATTGTCTATCTGAACTAGCCATCCCTAAAGCTACATAGTCTACCTGAACTAGCCATCCCTACAGCTACATAGTCTACCTGAACTAGCCATCCCTAAAGCTACACATAGTCTACCTGAACTAGCCATCCCTAAAGCTACACATACACAGTATACCTGAACTAGCCATCCCTAAAGCTACATAGTCTACCTGAACTAGCTATTCCTAAAGCTACACATTATTTTAATAAGGGAATTTTACTATCACTCTTATAATGCATCTACAGCCCTAATGTGTGGTGAGCAATTTTATGGCAATGGGATATGAACCATGGACCCTCGGATACTCAGTCCAGCATGCCACACTTAGCCCCTAAAAAAACCAAATACGACAATTCACTGGCATTTCAATAATTTAAATTAATAATCAAGCACGTTCAATTGAAAATTCACTTAGATAACATGTAGGAAACGTGAACTTAACGTACAACACACTAAACAAGTTATAGCATTCAAAATTTCACAATAAGTCAACGGGTCAATTATATTCATGATTTTTATATTGGATCCTATAATAAATCACGCACTTCTCTCTCTCTCCATAGATATATAAATTGTAAATGTTGCTACTACAACGCACATATTTTGAAAATCTATATTATCAACCATCTATAAAAGAAAATACTCATATTTAAAAGAAGAATCTGAAACAAATAATTTAAAGGAGTTCTCAGAGCGAAAAGTAAATAAAAATCTGTGTTAGTTCATGCCGTTCTTTCACATACCTTTTTTTTTCTCACACAACTTCACGCGAATCACTTCCTCGTCCGTAATGGGCCCAAACGTTTTACTAGGGAGCGATGGTGGGTTTTCCACTGATGTCACGGAACTATCCTTTACAGCTGTTACATCACTGTTTTCTGCAACAGCCTCGGCAATGGTGGCACAGTTTCTTGGAATAACACTCAGGTTTGTAATGGATGACTGAGGTTCAACTGAAGCTTTCAAATTATCTTTCTCAGAATCACATATTTCATTTTCTTTCTTCATATCATCACGTTTATATTTTGGTTCCTCCTTTACCACATCACTCGTTTGTTCTGGTGTTGGAATAGTGTCACGTTTGAATATAACAGGCTCTTCGGAATGTTCTTTTGTGTTAAGATCTATTGTTTTGGCATCATTAAATGTACTTTTTTTGGTGCTCTCAGACTTTGTTATATTTCTGTATACTTTATTAGCTATAAGTTTCAGTACTTTTGCTGATTTAGAGAAATCATATTCCTTTTTTCGCAATTTGACCTGCAGGTTTTTAGGCAAAGCATTCACTGTTAAAACTTTATCCTTCATCTTGCTATAAAGTTCATGATTGATGATGTTTTTATTGTCAGTTGATAGATGCTGTGAAGAAAACCTACAGGTAAAGCTGTACGGACATTTGCCAAATGTTTCAAAAATGTAGCAATTTGTACCAAGATCTGGAGGCTTATGAGCAAGAAAAGAGTCAATGTTATGACTGAAACAACACGAGGTTCCGTACGGACAACTGTTTTCAGACAGAAATTTTAAACACAACTTTTCATCTTTAGGAATTCTTGCCTTTTGTCGTCTCTGTTTGTTCCGTCCTTTCAACTTTTTTTTTGGTGGGTCTTCAGATTCATTGTTGTCTTCTATTTTACGTTTGTCAGCTTTTGACACAAATTCTAGATTTACTTCTCTGGCATGATCCTGAATGATGAAACTGTATTCAAGAGGTCAGAAAGAGTTCACAGAACTGAATGTAACAGGTATAAGTGACATACAAGGTCTTGCCATACTTAAAACAAAACTTTTCATTCATACACACACCTACACACATTACATTTCAAATATACTAGTTCTTCAGTAAGTAATAAGTAAATTTTTGATCACTATAAAGCAAACTTGTGTGGTAGCGTGACTCAGTGGCTCCTTGCTTTGGACGCGTAGTTGAATGATTGCAAGTTCAAGGCTGGCCCGTGTTGTGCTGTCAACTCCTTGATAAAAAAATTTACCCTACTTGATTCAGTCAACCCAGCTGTAGGATGGATACCTGGGTGTTAGCTGAAGGTTAACCTGTGATGAACTGACATCCTATCCAGAAGGAATGGGTTACCATTCTCATCTGCTTGTGCCACTGGAACCAGAGTTCAAAAGTGCCAGCCTTATAAAGGTACAGCAATGAATAAAAAAAAGTAAACATGACTAAATTCAAGATTTAATAAAGTCTTTCACTGTATCTTTATGCCGTGTGTAAATTTTTATATTGGGGGTAGTACGGTATGATAAATAACATATCACATGAAAAAAACATTAGCTATGCTTATAAAAGATTCAACCACGTTTTTACTTCAAAACTTTAGTTGAACTAAAGTCTCTTTTATAGGTGAAAGCTACTCCTCAGTCAGCATATATAAAGTCTCTGATATAGGTGAAAGCTACTCTTCAGTCAGCTTATATAAAGTCTCTGAAATAGGTGGCTGACTGAAGAGTAGCTTTATATATAAAGTCTCTGACATAGGTGGCTGACTGAAGAGTAGCTTTTCAGAAACTTTATATAACAGAGGTGAAAGCTACTCTTCAGTCAGCTTATATAAATAAATATCTGTATATATGCATACAATTCAGTATATACAAAGACTAAAAAACAAACTGATGTTTAGTCCAAGATAACACACTATTTGAACCTTGTTAAAATGTCAATACTAATTCCATACTCCAAAGAACCACATGCATGTTTATATAGCAACTTAAGCTAGTGACCAAGCTCTATCTACTCATCTTTCCACTCATCTGTACTTTATTTTTCATTACAGCTCAAGATTAAGGGTACAAGGGATAAAAGAAAAGTATCACAAATTTAAGAAATTTAAATTGACTGGTATGATAGGAGATTTAGAAGATCAAGAAAGTTGGTAAAACAGGACATTAAAAAGGTTGGCTGAAAACATAAAAATTGACAGTAAGGATTTCTTTAAGTACATTAAGGGTAAACAAAATGTTAGGATGAGGGTAGGACCCTTGAGGAATGATAAAGGAAAACTTGTATCTGATGATTATGAGGTGGTAGGTTATTAAATTCTACTTTTTCTTCAGTTTTTACCAATGAAGATTTAAGTAGTATTCCTCATCTTGAAGAGATGATAAACTGAAACTAGGTTGGAAGATATGATTGCATTAATTCTGAGCTTGTTAAAAACAAATTGGAAAGTTTTAGGAATGATAAAGCTCCTGAAACAGATAATATTTCCCCAAGGGTTTTGAAAGAGGTTAAGGATTGGAGATTTGAGCCACTTGCTACTATTTTTTGTAAGTCCTTGAGTAGTGGGCAGGTACCAAAGGATTGGAAGTTAGCTAATGTCACTCCTCTTTTCAAGGATGGTGATAAAAATTGTCTTAGTAATTACAGACCTGTTAGTCTTACGTCAGTTGTGGGAAAAGTTGTGGAAAGTCTGTTAAAAGATGCTTTGCAAAGTCATTTAACAAAGTTTAGAATTTTATTAGATAATCAACATGGTTTAACTAAGGGAACATCTTGCCTTACAAATCTTTTGACATTCTTTGAAAAGGTTACTGGTTATGTAGATGAGGGTAAGGGTGTAGATTTGGTGGATCTGGATTTTCAGAAAGCCTTTGACAAAATGCCACATAAAAGGCTTGTAAAAAAATTATCTCTATAGGTGTGAGGGATAAGTTAGCTAATTGGATGGAAGAGTGGCTGAATGGAAGAAAGCAGAGGGTTGTTATAAATGGAGGTCAGTCAGACTGTCACAAGTAAGGTATTTCTGGGCTCAGTCTTAGGGCCTTTGCTCTTTTTGATTTAAGTCAATGACATAGATGAATGAACAGTCAATAAATTACTTAAATTTGCAGATAATACTAAGGTCTTGGATGTTGCTAGCTGTGAAGAGGATGCTGCTGATTTACGAAAGTATTTAGATAACTTAGTGAGTTGGGCAAGTAAATGGCACACAGGTTTTAAAGAGGTTATAATTTCCTTGTATAGGTCACTGGTTAGGTCACATTTGGAGCGTTGTGTTCAGTCTTAGACTCCTTATCTTGGGAAGGACATTTGTTGGAAAGGGTTCAGGGGAGAGTTATTAGAATGGTGCCTGGGATGGAGGGGTTGTCATATGAGGAGGGATCAAGATCTCTGAAATTGTTTTATCTCAAAAAATGAAGAGTTTAAGATTGTAAAGGAAATTGATAGTGTTGATGCATCATATTTTTTCATACTTAACAGTGAGAATAGTAATACTAGGGGAAGCAAATATATAAATTTTGGCAGGGTAGGAGTCATCTTCAACTAAGACAGTTTTATTTTTCTAACAGGATGGTGAGTTTATGAGAAAGCTTGATAACTATATGAATGATAAGGGCTGGCTTTAAGATTTTTATTCTATTTATTTTTTAATTTATTTATTTGATAGTTTTAGTTTAGAAGATGGGACAGCCAAGATGGAACAATAGGTCCCTTGTTGTCCCTACACACATTATGTTATCTTAATATAAAAACCCTATAACCCAAGCATTTCTGAAAGGTGGACCTTTCTTCTTCAGGGGTAAACTGTGTGATATTATGTAAAGATGCAAAATATTTTCACAGTCTCCTAAACTGTTAAATTTACCCAATCAAAGTTCAATGTACCGTTGCACTGTATTATTATATATATATATTTGTAGTTTCAATTAATTCATTGTAGTTGACGTACCCGATGATGCCAGGTTAACCTGGTGAAACGTTGTACTTTCATTAAATTTTACTCCGATTTATCAAGTTTACTTTTAATTACGATAGAGTACTTCCTTTCATAGTACATGTTGATACAATTACCAGTCACTTTTATGGGTTAAAACTGTGATTGAACCCTTTAAATTATTATTAGGATTACGGCTATAAATACTGTTAACAGTGTGGGTATGCTACTGATGAAACAATGCAATCTAATCTTTTTAAGTAGAAACATAAGAATAGCATAACCAAGTAACTTTTAGCTTCGGTCTAACTCTTAGTGATTTTACGCTGAACAGAAATTATTATTCACTGGTCGCAGATTTAACATAGGTTAAAATATGATTTCCTCAACAGCTAAAGTTACTATAACTTTTCTAATTTACATAGAACCATAACATGGAATTGTAATTTAACTGTAATGTAATGTATTCACTTCACGCTAGTAAGCCTAAACTTGATACGAGGACTTCCCAAGGTTCAGCTTAGCTTACTTTGATTTTACAGAAGCAACGCCATAATGATTTCGGTCCCTTGCTTTATTTTCTTCGTAGTCATTCTTCTGCAAACTAGGTTCACTGGAGTCGGACATTTTGCCTTTAATTTTCTTTATTTACTTCAAGAGAGAAGCATATGGATTAAAATAAAACATTACCAACTTAGTCAGAAACGAAACTGATGTCACCGAAACTTGTCTTGCATGTGGTATCATTACCGAATAAAGCGCCGCCTGTTGATAACAATTTCGCATATTATAATCAACTTTGTTTAACAATAAATTTTCATGAAATAATAAATAATGTAAATAATAAATATACATACATATAAGCGATCAAGTTCTGCGAGATAACTAATCAGAATAGTAAATATTTGCTTAATTTGCAGAGTAAAATGGTTAATTAAAAGGCCGTGGCTATTCATCCGGCTAGCTTGACAAACACTTTACTTGATAGTTACTCCAGGTGTTTTCCAAACTCAGCGTCATCAGTAAGCTGTTCATGAATTACGAGTTATCGACGAGAGAGAGGTGCGGTAATAAAACCATGAGGAGAAAGAGAATGGCTTGAAATACAAAACACAAATCATTATGTTTTCAAGGGATGATAACTTTACAGTAGGTCTAGACATTTACTTTGAGATGGGCAGAAAAACTCTAAAAAAAATTCGATAAATCCGCGAGGGTGTGCCCGGGGAGGGGCGCTTATTCCACCCCCTGGAAAATGAGAAACATAATTATTTCTTTATTCATTCAGTATATGTATATGAATTTACAAGTTTTATTCCTTCACAATCTCGCTCTACTTATTACACTTAATTTTCAGTTCTCATAAAAGTCGCCAGGTTTGTCAACAGCTTTATTTAAAATCTCTAAATACCTACCCTGTAGCTAAATATATAAAACTTCGCTACCACGACGGCTTCTTGGATATTGGAGATGGTAATTCTCACTTAGGTCATCAAAAACACCGACATCCCCTGCGCCCTGACACAGTTTGATCGGGGTCGGCCCGCATGGCCAGGTGATTAGGGCACTCAATTCGCAATCTGACGGTCGCGGGTTCGAATCTCCGTCCCACCAAACGTGCTCGCCCTTTCAGCCGTGGGGGTGTTATAATGTGACGGTCAATCCCACTATTCGTTTGGTAAAAGAGTAGCCCAAGAGTTGGCGGTGGGTGGTGATGAGTAGCTGCATTTCCTCTAGTCTTACACTACTAAATTAAGGACGGCTAGCGCAGATAGCCCTCGAGTAGCTTTGAGCAAAGTTCAAAACAAACAAAGAAATAATGATCGGGGTCAACTTGTTGCCACCTGCTGGCAACATTAGCAACAGATTATCAAAGACCCTGGCGCAGTCTTGCATACATCTCATGAAACAGCGTGGTTGGGGTCAACCAAAATTTACTGTTATGGAGTATATATATATATATATATATATATAGCTGCACGTCTGCAGTATAGCTTAAACTAACCTTACAAATATTAAATCCATCAAATCTGACTCTTGGGAACTTGCCTGTAATAGCAAAACTTTGAAGGCAAGTCCATCGTCCCTTGATTTGGACTGAAAAATTTGTGCGGACTCCCACGTATACAAATAAGTGTCCCTAGATCCGTGCAGAAATAATTGTTTTATCTTCTTCATGTTATATCATGATAAAATAATAAATATCAAATATTTCAAGTAAACGTTTGTTGAAATAGAATGAGGATTAAATTTTTGACTTAAACTTTGAAATAGGATTAAAACACATAGCAAACTTTTAAGTTTAAAAACTTAGTAGTAGTTGTAGCATAAGTTGTAACTATAGTCTGACAGTTCTGTTATTTACTGTAAATTAATTACTGAATATTTTAAAATGACCAAGTTTTGCAGTTTGAGACCATAAAAATCATGCTCTTCCGTTTGTCTGGTGGTGTACCTTTCTTGCAGGAAATTGTAATAAAAGTATTTTTATGAAAATCCACTGGAGCTATCGAGTGCAACTTTAAAATCGCTTAAAGTCTACTGTCACATGGAAGTGAAAACTGATGTACACTGTATATAAAGAGTGTGCTTCCTTTCTGTAATATTTACTTTCTATTTTCGCTAACTAGAGTTTGTTTTGTCAGATAGTTTTTGGTTCACTTGTAAGCCAGTTTGGGTGTATGTTTTCCCTAACTAGAGTTTGTTTTGTCGCTTAGTTTTGGTTCACTTGTAAGCCAGTTTGGGTGTATGTTTTCCCTAACTAGAGTTTGTTTTGTCGCTTAGTTTTGGTTCACTTGTAAGCCAGTTTGGGTGTATTTTTTCCCTAACTAGAGTTTGTTTTGTCAGATAGTTTTTGGTTCACTTGTAAGCCAATTTGGGTGTACGTTTTTTAGCTTAATGGTTTAGTATATCTTCACTCTCAAGCCTCGCAGTAAATCACTCGATATGACAATATAACACGACATGTTTTGTTCGAATATGTAAGTGGAACAATGAACAGCAGTGTTACATTACGTCTTCCAGAGATGGTTCACTATTATACTGCTTTGTTTTTAAATACGGGGTTTATTTCTGTGGTAACTTAGTTACTTAGGAATGTCGTCTGGCAGATATTAGATAACTTGGTTACTAAGGAATGTCATCTGACAGATATTAGATAACTTGGTTACTTAGGAATGTCATCTGACAGATATTAGATAACTTGGTTACTTAGGAATGTCATCTGACAGATATTAGATAACTTGGTTACTAAGGAATGTCATCTGACAGATATTAGATAACTTGGTTAGTAAGGAATGTCATCTGACAGATATTAGATAACTTGGTTACTAAGTAATGTCATCTGACAGATATTAGATAACTTGGTTACTAAGTAATGTCATCTGACAGATATTAGATAACTTGGTTACTAAGTAATGTCATCTGACAGATATTAGATAACTTGGTTACTTAAGAATGCCATCTGACAGATATTAGATAACTTGGTTATAAAGTAATGTCATCTGACAGATATTAGATAACTTGGTTACTTAAGAATGTCATCTGACAGATATTAGATAACTTGGTTACTTAAGAGTGTAAGACCCTTTTTAAAACATAAGTTTTGTAAGAAAGTGGAAATTTATTTTACTAACTTAGAAAACGTAAACTTAAGTTTCACGGATAAAGAAATACATCGGATACGAACACTAAAGTGTTGACATTAAGTCGCGATAGAGACGGTAAATATAAATATTATTTTTCTCATTTATGTAATTCATCATATAAACTCATTTATATAATTCATCATATAAACTCATTTATATAATTCATCACTGGTAATTCATCATATAAACTCATTTATGTAATTCATCATATAAACTCATTTATATAATTCATCACAGGTAATTCATCATATAAACTCATTTATGTAATTCATCATATACACTCATTTATGTAATTCATCATATACACTCATTTATATAATTCATCATATAAACTCATTTACATAATTCATCATATAAACTCATTTACATAATTCATCATATAAACTCATTTATGTAATTCATCACTGGTAATTCATCATATAAACTCATTTAC